AATGTAAAACAAACGATCGTAACCAATAAGAATTATCGTCATTTAATAACTATGTAAAATCCAATTCTACCACACTGTAAATAATTAATTACAGTAAAGTACAATTACTCTTTGTTCAATTACCCCATCCCTGTCACGTATCCATTTAAATAGTGAGATGGGGGGTGGGGGTGGGGGTTATATTCTGTGAGATATCTTATGTTTCCCCTAGATATTGTGTATAAGCTTACAGAAATTGGAAAAAAATATTTAAAAACCATCGAATTCTGTCGGAAGTTATTGTACGGTAAATTAGAAGTTATTGAACGGCTAAGCTCCGCCCCCTAGAAGTTATAGTACGTTGGGATTCAGCCAAAGGTTGGTTTTCTATCTGATTTAAAGTATGGCCAACATCAAAAGAAAAAGTACCGCACCATGACACAAACTGTTATATAACAGAGCTACTTGTGTACAATCTTTTTTACAAAATTGAAACAGAAGAGCGGAACTACATAAGCTTCAGAAGAGCGGAACTACATAAGCTTCAGAAAAGCTACATTTGTAGAAAAACTCCATTTATTTAGCTTCAGATTTGTCGCGCGCTGATCTGAAAATAATATGGCTGGTCGTCCATTCCAGTTTTTTTTCAGACAATGGGACGAGCTAAAGAATTGCAGATAATGTATATACATGACAAATACCGGTACATATTTCTCAAATTTCTTTGATGTATTTGTATAACTTTGCTATAGCAAATCATGAAAGAAATAATGCAAAATTATATTTCTTAGCGTTGTTTGACCTGCGTTGATAAATTTTATATCCCCCCTCTCTGTCTCCCTCTCTCTCTCTCTCTCTCTCTCTGGGAAAAATAGAGGCAATATCATCTAACGTGACAAACCTTTGTACGCCTTATATGGCTTTTGTTGTAAATGCGCAAAGAGGATCTTGTGCGAGTTCAATAAAACCTTTGGAGACTTTTTTAGTTGACATAAGCTGAAAGCCCAAGAGAGCTTTTTTGATCAGCTGCTGTTTGTATGTCCGTCCGTCCGTCTATTCCCCATTTCAATAAGGTGAGTTATTTCCCTTGAAGGGAACTCTTTTACTGTGGTAAATACGCATGCGCTATAAGAAAGTCACTTCCGTGGACGTTCTTGATGTAAACATGTTAATGGTGTAATGCCTCAGTCATATGACAAACTGTTTTTGTGCTTTTGAATAAAAAGAAATCCTAACTGATTCGTATTTTTTGTCGAATGCTTTCTCATAGTCCCTTTCTGGATTTGCATTAGGCTGTATGTACTAGTATGATAATACGCTGTGTGACCCCCCCACCCCTCTTTAAAAAACCAAAACAGATTACTAATAAAATGCCGAAACATATTCAAATATGCCTTCCGGGGTATTTTTTTTTTAAACAAAAGCTAAAATTTCATTTTCGGTAGTGGATGTTCTGCAGACGGATCGTCATTATTTACAAACTGTGCATAACAAATATAAGACTTTGTTTGTATAGTTATATAGATTTTACGAATTCTAGGACTTTATTTGGAGACTGATGACATCTCCGTCTACAGTTTTACCTCTGAAATTGCTGTAGATACTGCAGTAGTTGGTCTTCCGCGACCGATATCAATAAAATATGTTTTTGCACGATTGTATGTCATAACATAGTTTACTTACAAGAGCACATTTGGTGACAATTAAAGTCTATTTCATTTGAATAAACCGTGTTTCTAGAAATTTACATTTGTTAAATAATTGATTCACTTTATTGTATTAAAACTTTGAATGGAATTTTAAATGAATAATTTAATCTCATGTGCTCATGTTACGAGGACAGACTGATTAAATACCCGGTAGCATCGACCTAAATTCGTGTAACACGTGTCGTATAAAATCTGAGCTGCATTTAATCAAAGGTTTAGTGTAGGATCTAAGCATATGTATATTCCCGAGTAAAATACACTTATTTTGTTTTAGATCAGAGAATTGACAGCAGAAACACGAAAATGATACAATAATTTCCGAGCGTATTTCACGTTAATAGGGAAACATTCTTTTCGTAAAGTGTATTTTTGTTTTTAAAATCCCTTCAGTTAAGTATGTATTTTCATAAGGTATTCTGATTTGCAAAGTGTGTAAAAAGCAATATCAGAGAGAGAGAGAGAGAGAGAGAGAGAGAGAGATAGAGAGAGAGAGAGACTCCATCTTCGCTAGCCAAGGGTTAATTTCTGATACGCTACTCTCCTCATTTTTCTGATACGCTACACTCCTCATGAGGAGAGTAGCGTATCAGAAACACTCTCCTCATGAGGAGAATAGCTTATAAAAACGCTTGGCTAGCGAAAATTGAGACACTCATGAAACTTCGTGTAAGTAACATACATGAATATATGTGAAAAAATATATATACCCTAATTATATTGAATTCACAATTAATAATTTTAATCAGTTTTAAATTCTAAAACATTGAATCATATTCAACTGTTCAACTAATTTACACATTCGTTCTCTGTACATGTTGTACGCACGAAACCCTCGTGCATCACATGTCAATCAAATTCGCGTGAAAGTTGATTTGAAACATTCTTATAATCAGTTCTGAGTGTGTAACACTCAACTGACATCCAGCGAAATTCATCTTCCCAGTTTCACCGGTTACATATATTTATGTTACATACCGGTTACATAAATTATCCTTTTTTAAGGCATAAATAACATGTACAGGTGACTCTCGATCTCTCGAAGTCTAAGGGACCGCAAGAAAAGTTCGAGAGATCGGGGGATTGAGAGATAGAAAGTTAATAAAATCCGGCATTTTCAGTTCCGACCATCGATGTTCTACTATTACTGATACCGGAAGTATTGCACGCTTTCATTCGTATTTTACAGGTAATATACTTGATATCAAAAGCAATGATCGTATTTCGAATAAATAAAACGAATTCCTGAAGTTTCAAAATTTAGTTTTTCTTATTTCATGATAACATGCAACCCGAATAGCATTGTCGGTTTGGCTATTCCGCAGCTTGATCGGGTCCATTGAAAACGTTCATTGAAACACAACTCCTCCCAGTTTATACTACAGTAAAGTTATATGAGGGAAATGAAGTATTTTAAGCCAATTATTTTCATTGGCTTGTCAACTTTTCCATGTAAGTAAAAAAAAAAAAATTTCTCTGTTGCCCCCCCCCCCCTTGTAAAGACGATGCTACGTGCCTTGCTATTTTTTCTTATCACTTTCTAGAAAGGGGGCTAACAGATCCTTCATAAAATCGCTGATTGCTTAAATCTTTTTCGCAAACCATTTCCTTCTTTTGAAATTTTTAAATGCAGCGTGTAAGTTGATCATTATTTTCTTGGATTATTAAAATGCATAGTCCGCCAAAGTTATGCTGGTGTTGAAGAGTTCCGATTTTGAGGGGCGATAACTCACATTTCTAAAATGGGGAATAAACCTTGTAGACATTTTAAACATCTTCTCAAAAATCACAGGGTTAATATTAACCAAACTTGGTACACAGCATCCTAAAGGGGAGGGGGGGGTGTTAAAATTGTAAAAATGATGGGTCTAGTCTTTCAACAGGGAGAGATAATCAAGATAAGAATATAGGGTGGGATCAAGTACAAATCTTCTTTTTGCATGTAAAAACCACTGGACCAGAAAAGCTGAAACTTATGTGGAAGATTCCTGGGATAGTGTAGATTTTACATTCTCCAAATTATGTTCCTAGGAGGGGGGGGAGTAGGGGGGGGTAAGACGGGTCAAAATAGGTATTACAAAGAGGAAATCATGTAAAGAATAGTATGGCCATAGTTACTCAGGTGAGCCATGTGGCCCATGGGCTCTTTTGTTTTACTTGTCAGGGAATTTTTGGCAGTTGATAGCCCCCCCCCCCCAAGCTGAAAATGTATGACTGCCCTCCCCTCTTTCAACTTGAATGGCTTCAAACAGTAGTACATGTACATTACAAAAATATTTAACTTATTTATGCAAACAAATGATTCTTGTTTTCCTGGCCCCATGGCTTCTTTAAATCACTTAAGATATGTCTTGGGAGAAGCTCGCGGTCGTCTTAAAACATGGACTAAGAAAACATGTATGAAGTAAAAGGTCCCCTAATACAGGACAGATTTAATGGTCTAGCTTAAGACTAAGGTGTGACGTAAGTTCGTCTGAGTGATGCCTTAGTCCTTATATAGCTTCATAATCTTGCATGTAGGTCTTGTGAAAATTTTTGTCAATATCAACGTGAATATTTACCTGTATGTATGTATGTATGTGACCCCATGTTTGCATTTAATTTGCATTACAAGCTGAGGAAATGTGGTCTAGGGGTATGACGCTCGCTTAACATGTGAGAGGTAACAGGTCAAATTCCGGAAGATCCTAGCTTTTTTTACATTATTTTTTTATTTACTAATTGAAAGTTATCACCATGTGAAATAAAAAAAAGAAATTATGACGTCTGCTTGTATAAACTCATAAAATCATCATTACACTGTGATAAATATTCTTTATCTAAAAAATCCTACTGAACATATGATAGATAATAAGCAATTAAATCTTTATATCAAAATTGGCATTTTTTAAATATAAAAATTGATTAAATATACATGTATAAAGATAAATCCACATTTTTTGGGGGGGGCGTGGGGGGCGTCGTTCCCCTTCCCCTCCGTACTGGTTATGCTTTTCCTTTTTTCCCGAAGCGGTGGACTCATATACATTGTGCAGTTTATATTTAATATAATTGAAATCTCTTTTTATAATTAAGTTATTATATTACGAATATACACCCCTCCCTGTACATGTAATTATAAAGAAGGAGACTCTAATTCTTTTATTGGACCTGTCCTATCTATTATATTTCGGATGATATTTCTGTAAATCATGTGGGATTGATGCGTTTATCTAAATATAACCTAAATATGTACAAGACTCTAAGAAATATTTTGAGAATAAAGGGAAAGGCAGAAATACCAATATAATTTTTTTGTTCTCTTTTTGATTTACAATGCAACTAAAATTACGACGAGGTAATATACATGTAAATGAAGGTGTCAAATATGCAATCTTAATTTTGCTCATTTTAAAAAAGTATCCTTAATTAACTTTATGTAAATTTGAATTTGAATTTTCCACATATCTTTCTTCAGTTATTCTAAATCTTCGAATACAAATCGGGAAAATATTCTTGAACAAGTTCTAAACAGTATCAAGAATGGTGCTGGTCGTTACATGTGTTTTGATTGTTAAAACACTTCTCAATTAATCTGGTAATCAGATTTTAATCTATATACACATGTAGGTCGATTTCACTTTTTGAAACATTACTATCAAACTAGTCACAAAAGCTGAATTGAGTTAGATGAAAAGAAAAAAAAATGGCGAAAAATGAATTTAAAAAATCACCTAAATTATGGAGATCCTTTAAACTATAATATATATGCATCATTATTTATTGACAGTGTTACTCATTATATGTTCACTAAACGTTGTAGATAAGTTCTCCAAACTGACTGATGACGAGGTGTGCGTGTTATTTTGTTTTCTGTGTTCTGACTCCGGTCCTCCTGACTTCGCTGACACAGAGTGGCTGGACTTGCTAAATGTGATGCGACAGAGAACTAATCCTGTAACACGTGAGGAAGCACAGCAGACTCTGGACAGACTGAAGTCACGTGATTACCTTTGGGAAGATCAGGATAAGATAACGGAGGACACAAAGGATGAGACAATGTATAAGATAACATCAATATTCTGTCAAATACCATTTATTTACAGTAGTTATGACACAGTCAGTGTGTACCTGAGATCAGAGAGATACAACAGAGAACCTGGAGAGAAGTGTGTCACTAGTCCTGACTGGAATGATGTACTGATACTCCGTCTACAGATGAGCATACTGACTCACGTCACCATGAAGGACACGAAGATATATGATAAAATACACTGGATATGTAAGTCAGAGCAAAATAATTGTAAAATTGTTATAATTTTCTTCCAGAATTTTCTTAAAATAATTGGATTGCATTTTTAAAAAGTTTAAAAGTTATCAGTAGAAACATTTATACATTGAAATAGCTTTCTTTTTTGTAGTTGCTTTGTAGTAGCTTCATCGACTACAATTAAATGCTACTAGATTAATATATTACAAGTTAAATTGATGCAAAGCATCAAATCGGCTGCAAACAAAATTTAGCAGTAAAAAAATTCCTTCACATGCAAGGAAAGCACGTCAAGATATAAAGGAGAAATGGTTGAATCTTTTTTTTTTCAGCTTATCTTCAAGGCAAAGTAATTTTTTTTTAAATTAATAAATAGATAATTGTAAATCGACGTAAAAAAATAAGTCAATGATGAATAATGAGAATTTATTGAAAATGATGATGTAGGCCTCTCAAGATAAACCACGTGCTGATACAGAATCTTTGTCACGTTATGCAGAGTAAGCTCTGCTGCAACCGCGGTGCAAAATGGAGGGAAAAATCTTGGAGCTTTAGAGCATACATTGAATATTCACCATGCACTTTTAATTTTTCCGGAAAATCATGGCAAGTTAAAAAGTATCTATTGTACACTCTTTTTATATAACCATAAATTATCAATTATCTGACGAGAAATGATAATGAAATTGAAATATAATAACAACAATTAATGCTAATATTAAAGCAAGTTTTTTTTTAAATATTTAACTCATGATTTTTACTTTTTATCAATCAAGAATTATGACTATTATTGAAAAATAACGTCTCCTTTCCCCATGTGCACTTTCTAACACAACCACAAATAGATCGGCCGCTGCTGCGGCCGATGATAATAGAAGTAACTGATCGAATATGTTTAATAAATCTATAATTTGAATGTATCTCTACCTATACACATGTATATATACATAATGGTATTACAGTGTAAATGTTTATTATAAACAGTATATTTTTTCTACAGTAAATATCCCAGAAAATGAAATCAAGAGCAGTAAAGATGAACGAGAAAAAATTCTAACGGAACTAAAAAGAGAAGGGGAGGCTGTACATTACAGAGGAAGATCACAGGACTGTGTAGATCACGTGACGTGGCTCTGGAGATACTGGAGACCTGACATCGTGAGGTCCTGTATAGGTCTGCATCCACACAACGACATTTACATCATCGACAACAAAGCTTACAGAAAACCAAGTAAGAAAGTTTGATTTTCTAGAAAAAAATAAAATTAGTTCTTTAGTTTATTTATGTGAATTTAGACCAATAAACTTATATTAGCTCAGTTGATTGTATTTGTTACCCACGATCTTGTATAGAAAAGTGATTAATCTGTTCAGTAATCTAAATAAATATTACTGATTACCTAAATCTACCTGTAACTTTGTGTAGACATAAATTTAAAAATGAAGGGTGTCATTTTTTTCTACTTAAATAAAGGAGAGGATTTGGGTTTTAGGAGATTGAAGTTCTTTCATGATCATTTTTTTATCTTTCAAACAGTACGACTTACCATTCTTCAACTTTAACTAAACTGCAACATACATGTGTGTTGAAAGTGTATGTGTGTTTGTTTATGTGACATTTACTATATGATTTCTATGTGAAAAACACTGTACGCCCCCAATGTATCCCTTGTTACGTCCCAATGTAATCTTTTTATTAGCCTTTTTTTATTGTATTATACAAATCTTTATAAAATCTTCTTCGATTTCGCTTTAAAGTAACCACTGGACGTCAGGAAATATAAAACCGCAAAACTCATGTGGAATCATCCCCAGGTTAGTGTAGTCTGTCAATTTTGTAAACAATATTTCAAAATGCTACTCCTCCTACAGTTTTGGGATTTCAATATTGTGGCACACAAATGGCTGATACATAATTCTGTTTTGGTATTTGATTTCGATGAATGGTGTTGCCAATATATCTGTGAAATTCTTTCAAAATCTTCTTCCTACAGTTTTGATCTGATTTCAATATAACTTGGCACACAAGGAAAGATGAAATTTCTGTTTATCTGTTTTTGATTTCGATGAACGGTGTTGTGGTTATTAAAAATAGTTTGTTGAAATTATCAAAATACTACTCCTCCTACAGTTTTGGGATTCCAATATAACTTGGCACACAAGTAATACACTAAGAACATAAAAGTTTTACATGAGCTTTATCTGTTTATTGCTGGAAAACTTTTAAATTCCAGCTTTTCAAGTACTTTAAAGCCATGCTTAGTAATATTCTGGTTTTCTAGTTTGTGTAGCGTTTTAAATATCCGGTAACGATTTTGCTTCAATCATGACCTACAAAAACTGATTGTTCTACAGTCTAAGGATAAATTAATTATAAAGATAAGGCTGGAAAACTTTTCAGTTCTGTATATTTCTGATGTATGCTTTATTCGTTCCGATAGCCAATTGCTCAGGTGACGTCTCGCGACTATTGTGGCGGCCATGTGAAGCTAATAGTAATCTTCGGAAGAAAAAATCTTACGATTTGACTTAGACATTTATAAATTTTACTGATCAAACATTATAAAATTTACTTTGAACAATAATTATTGTTTAAGACGCACCCCCCCCCTTTCAAACTACTTAGCCACGAACTAATACAAAATTATAAAATTATCTTATGAATAGCATACACTTATCCAATGGTTGTTAGTGGGATAGCTCTTTTATCAAAATGGCCGAGGACTTGCCTTATACAAGTTTTATATATAATATATAGGAAAAATCTTATAAAATCTACTGGGCCAACAAAATTTTGCCTAAACTCATGTAAAAATTATCCTCAGGAAGTGTTGATTCAAGTCACTTTCATTTTCATTGTCTCCAATTTACAGACAAGACTAGTGTGTTTTATTTTTTAGTAAAATAAGATCAAATTTTACAATAGGAATATATGGGTGAAAAATGTTTTAAAAAACTTTGTTCTACAAATATAACAAACATTAACAGTATTACAGGAAAAGTTGAATATATCTGGAAATATCATCCTCAGGTAGTGAAAATAATGCGAAGACAAATAATTTTTTACAGCTTAATCTTTTTCTTAAATATTATTGAGTAAAAATAATGCAAGTTTACAAAGTTTTACATTTTTTTTGAATGGAATATATAGTGAAACATCTTTCATAAAAAATCTTCTTCTAACAAAGTGCATCTATTTATATTAATTCATGCAAAACAATGATTATATATTGTTGACTAAAATATTTCTACTCTCTTTAGGGTATTAAAGTCGAATATTTAGATTTTAATTCATTTGTATACAATAAAATCTTGGATAGGTAAATTTCAGTATTTTACATTTCGGGGTATATACTCCGATAGGTAATAGCGGAAAAGTGAACATGCTGACATATGATTTTTCTTGTGTCTATCCATTGCTGGGATATATGTCTATCTTTTAAAAGCAGATTTATTAAGAGTTTTACATTTAGAAATACATGTATATAGGAAAAATTTTGTAAAATTAAACTTGTTTCAATATTAATCCAAATTAAAAATTATTCTCTTTAACAGGATTTTCATTTGCTTTTATTTTTCTATTGTATGTAAGTGTACATGTATTCCGCATTATTTATTGTGAAAGGTGGTGAACATGTTTCAGGTCGTATAAATTTGCTATCTGATACCTCTGACAAGTTTTATAATAGAAATATAAAGGCGATATACCTTTTTCCTTCCCTCGTTTTAAAAGTGTCACCTTTATCCTTCCATGGACCTGTTGAATGCAAGTAGATTTGATCATATGGAGAAATGACGTGCAGTTTATTCATGAGGTTGCTCCCACGTGATTTACTTCTCATTAATATTTACAAGATCCTGCAAAAACTCAAATTATACCATTTCTTTAATTTTTTAATATAAAAAACATGCAAGACTTTTTTTTATTTAAATTCCTTTAAGCACTCGACATATCTAAATGGGTAGAATTAAGCGTTAGCTTCAGTTGGCATTTAATGATACTGTATGTTTCAATAATTAGTAGGTCAGGCAAATGCAAAGAATTGTCGTTTTTAATTTTAAAAGGCTGTCGTAACTCTTCATACAATTTTATAACAGCAATATTTTCTAAAAAAATAGACCTTCGTTTGCACCTATAAATTGGAAGAACTTTTCATGCAATAAACACTTACATTTAATCACCAAAAATTTAAATGTCAGTTCTCTTTTCTTCAATAAAACAATGTACTCTCGCTTCGAATTTTCAAATCAAAAAGGCGGTCGCAACTTTCACATTGGCATCAACATTATTGTTATTTGTATAGGATATAAAAAAAAACTTGAACTTTTCCGAAATATTAGAATATAAAAATTAGCAATTTTTTTAGTTCTCTATATAATCCTTTAACAGGATTTAACCCCAATATGGCTTATTTTTCAGAATTAACACCGTTTCTCCATATGTTGCTGTTATGCCTCAAAACAATCGTTTCATTTTTTAGTGCAAAATAATAGATCAACTTGGTGAAAATATTTCAGGTCCTATAAATTTGCTATCTCGTACCGCTGACGGGGTGGCAGGCAAGAGATATCATAATACGTACGAGTTATGTAGCGCTACAAAGGCTCGTATACATTGTAACCTCATTTTAAAAGTTTCACCTTTATCCTTCCATGGACCTATTGAATGCAAGAAGAGTTGATTGTTGTTATGCTTTAAATCATTCGTTTCATTTTTTAGTGCAAAATATATTAGATCAACTTAATATAATCAGGAAGCATTTTGAACTATTAAAAAAAATTCAGTTTCATCATAAAATCATAGGAAAAAAAAATACGGACTTCTGACTAAAATGACTAGAGACGATGAAAATCCAGGTACTGCACATATATAAAAGTTTGAATGGATGTAGGGTATGAAATGAATAGTTCTCGTCTGATCCTTATATATGTCACGAGATCTCATCCAACTGAGGGACGTGAACACGTGTTCTTAAATTAGACTGATTAAAACGATCTCCCTTGTTGCGGAAGTTGCTGGCACGAAAATGATCCCTCGCTGCTCAATGGCCCTCAGTGCCAAGGTCAAATTGAGGCTCTCCGCGGCGAAGGATGGTTTCAATGTAACAGTGTTTCAGTGAAGTATTCGCAGTGAGACGTTTTAATCAACAAACACACATACTCATCATTACAGTACTCTGCACTTTTACAAGCACTATTCATCGTAAATATATAGAGATATATAGAATAAGTCAATATATTTCTATTTTTAGGTAAGTTTTTTTTTCTTTCTGGCTGCCCTCCTCCTTTTCCAAAAGTTTACCTTTATCAGTGGACCGGATGTATGTTTTCATGTGTGTCTCTATGTGTAGGGAGGAGGGGGTTGGGGTCGTGAGAGGGATGCAGAAACATGAATCTATTGACTTGAGTATTGCATGTTTTCATTGACCAATATAACAGCAATGTGCTGTCCAAGAAGTCGATATTTTAATTGCTTGAGCACAAAAATACAAAATTCCTTTAGAAGCTAATTAAAAAAAATATATGACAGTTGATGGAAATATAATTTCGTAGACTTTATAGGAAGGGGGGAGCTCCGGTACAAGTCTCTTAAAATTCAATATATGAAATGTTACAATTACCCCCCCCCCCGTCTTTTCCTGCAGTTTCTGCGAATCCTACTAAACATGATTCTGTATATATGTTCCTCATGCAACATTGCTTAATTACAATGTCGTATTGATATATATTTTTTCCTTTTATTTCATCTCCATTTTTCGTACTCTTCGTCATTCTGCTATATGTAGCTCTAAAAAGAGAGAAGAAAAAGAAAAATAAGGTGAAACAATAGGAGGAATATACTTACGCTCAAATAAAAATATAATTACTAAATTGTTTGCCCTTTCATACTTTTGTCATCAGATGTCCGACAAACAAGAAAATAATGTGGTGTCGCTATTAAAAGAATGAACTCCCTACTCCTGGACTCTAAAGCAGATGCTCAAATCACTGCGTCTCGCGGGCGACGAATGCAAAACGTTATTTCAATTTATATGCATATAAATTGAAATAAACCTATCATATTTTACAGATTTGAATATGGCTATTACTAAGAATAAAACTAACATTTTTTACAGATTTGAACTCGTATTTCGGGATTTTTTAAATATGATAGTGTATTTATGCTCCCCATGCAAGATCGCTTAATTACAATGTCTTATTGATATGTTTTTGGTTCACATTCTTAAACAT